TGAGAAGAGGGTGGATCACACCTTCTCGATCCCCTTATTCATCCCCAGTGGTGTGTGTCCGTAAGAAGGACGGAAGTCTTCGTCTTTGTGTTGACTTCAGAGAACTTAACCGTAAGTCAGTCCCCGACCGCCATCCGATACCGAGGATTCAAGACATGTTGGATGCTCTAGGTGGGAGCTCGTGGTTCTCGGTCTTAGACCAGGGTAAAGCGTACCACCAGGGTTATCTGGATGAGGAGAGCCGCCCGCTCACAGCTTTCATCACACCCTGGGGGCTCTATGAATGGGTGCGCATACCCTTTGGCCTGAGCTCGGCACCCGCAGAGTTTCAGAGGAGCATGGAGCATTGTCTGACTGGGCTGAGGGACACAAGTTGCCTCCCGTACCTGGATGACAACCTGGTACACAGTTGTAGCTTTGAGGAACACGTGGAGCACATCCGTCTTGTTCTCCAGCGCTATAAGGAACACGGTGTGAAGCTGACCCCAAAGAAGTGTGAGCTGTTTAAATCGAGTGTGAGGTTTCTTGGCAAGTTGGTGACTGGAGAGGGGTACACAATGGACCCTGCAGAGGTGGCTCCGGTGCAGGCGTTAAAAGAGAAGACCCCTGCCACAGTGGGTGATGTGCGCCAGATCCTTGGGTTTCTCTCTTACTACAGACCCTTTATTCCCAATTTCTCCCGCGTGGCTCACCCACTCTATGACTTACTCACAGTCCCTAACCCTGAGAAAGGCACTCTAGACCAGACCATGAAGAAGCCATGTAAGACAGGAAAGAAAAACAAGGGTCACTTACCATCGCAGACACCTATAGAGTGGAACAGCTCCCATCAGGAAGTATTGAATCAGCTGGTAGATGCACTCACGAAGCCGCCTGTCCTCGGATATCCAGATTTCACCCAACAATTTGTATTGCATTGTGACGCATCCCAAGTTGGCCTGGGTGCGGTGTTATACCAGAGACAGCAGGGGAGGATGAGAGTGATTGCCTATGGCTCCCGCACCTTGAGTACAGCAGAGAAGAGGTACCATCTGCACTCTGGAAAACTGGAGTTTTTAGCGTTGAAGTGGGCCATCTGCGAACGGTTTCGGGATTATCTTTATCACTCCCCATCATTTGTGGTATATACAGATAATAACCCGTTAACGTATGTGCTCACAACCGCAAAACTCAACGCAACAGGACACAGATGGGTGGCGGAGCTGGCCGATTATAACTTCACAATCAGGTACCGCCCAGGCAAAAACAACTCCGATGCAGATGGCTTATCAAGGATGCCGTTGGACTTTGAGGACTACATGTGTAGCTGTACGGCTGAGGCCAGTCAAGATGTCATCAGTGCATCTATGGAGAGAGTTACAGCGGAAAAGACAAGCCCTTGCCGGGGTGTTGGGTGGATCCAGGTCAGTGCTTTGAGCTTAGTGAAGGACCGGGAGACCAGCAAACCTCTTACCACAGATCAAATCCGCAAAGCGCAGGAAGAGGATGAAATCCTGTCCAGAGTCCTCTGGTACAAGTCACAGAACAAGAGGCCAAGTAGATCTGAAGTGAAAGCAGAGAGCCCCGCAGTGGCCATATTGCTGAAACAATGGCTCAAGGTTAAAGTTGGTCCAGATGGCGTCTTGCGCCGCAGAACTTCCCGTCGAGAACAACTGCTGCTCCCCAAAGCTTATCATCCTCTGGTCTTCAAAGAACTGCACCAGGACATGGGTCACTTGGGGGTCGAAAGGACACTCGACCTGGTACGAGAACGATTTTACTGGCCACAGATGAGCAGGGATGTTGAACATTTTGTCAGTAAGGTGTGTGAATGCCTCAAGAAGAAGAAGCCGAGTAAGCAGAGCCGTGCACCTCTGGTGCCCATTCAGACCACTTATCCATTTCAGCTCGTCTCGATAGACTTCTTGCATTTGGAAAAATGCAAGCATGGCTATGAGTATATACTGGTGGTCATGGACCATTTTACTAGGTTTGCGCAGGCCTACGCAACAAGGAATAAGTCGTCCAAAACAGTAGCTGACAAGATTTTCAACGATTTTGCACTCAAGTTCGGGTTCCCAAGCAGACTACATCACGACATGGGCAAAGAGTTTGAGAACAGACTGATGGCGAGCTTAAAGAAACTCTCTGGCATCCAGGGCTCACACACAACGCCATACCACCCCCAGGGTAACGGGCAGGTGGAAAGGTTTAACCGTACCCTGTTGTCCATGCTGCGCACCTTGGAGGACGAGGAGAAGGAGGATTGGAAGGAGTCCCTCGCGAAAGTTGTCCACGCGTACAACTGCACCAAGAACGAGGCAACGGGTTACGCGCCTTATTTCCTTATCTTTGGACGTTCTCCTCGCCTGCCCATTGATCTGTTCTTTAGTCTTGAAAAAGATGAGGCCCACGACACCTATGATGACTACGTGAGTAAATGGAAGACAAGAATGCAAGAGGCATACGAGATTGCGGCTAAAACAGTGGTCAAAGGAGCAGTTCGTGGAAAAGTCCTCTATGACCGGAAAGTGCAGGGAAGAGACCTCCAGCCAGGTGATAGAGTCCTTCTCAGAAATCTCACTCCCAGAGGCGGGCCTGGAAAAATTCAATCTTACTGGGAAGGTCAGGTGTACAGAGTGAAGGAGAGGAAAGCTGATGGGAGTCCCGTTTATGAGATCAGTCCAGAAAATGGCAAAGGAAGGGACAGAGTGGTTCACAGAAATCTTCTGTTGCCCTGTGATTTCCTACCTCTTGATCAGCCACCAGCAGGGCTTCGTCAGCCATGGAAAGACTCCCGGAGCTCCTCAAAGAAAAGAACCAAACCACAACAACAGCAGCAACCAGAGCCAAGTGACACCTCTGACGATGAAGGCAGTGGTCCCTACCAATGGAATCTGAGATCTGGCAGCGGGAGACAGCAGAGACCCACTCCACTGAATCCTCTGGCAGAACCCTTTCACCCACTACAAAGCGAAGAGGATGTGCCACTACAAAGCGAAGAGGATGTGCCACTACAAAGCGAAGAGGATGTGCCACTACAAAGCGAAGAGGATGTGCCACTACAATCTCAGAGACCTGATTTGAGTTCTGACAGGTCTGAGAATGTTGAGTCAGAGGCCGATCCGCTGGTTCGGACGCTAGGAGAGCGACATGCGGTAGGACCTCGACCCCAGAGACTGAGACGTCAGCCGGTTGTACTGAGTTATGACACATTGGGTCAACCGTCCTTGGTAAATCGAGACTGTAAGGTAACAGAGAATCAGGTAACGCAGACGAAGGGTTACTGGAGGCCTTGGATGGCTGAGGTTTTCTAAAGTAATGTTCCCTTGTTCTGGGAAATGTCAGGAGACATTTAATTTTGTGGGGGAGAGTGTAGCACTAAGAATGTAAAATGGGACAGATATCAAAGCACCCCCCTTTAAATTTCAAACTGTTCATATTATCATTAGTTACTTGTATGACTTTCATTGTGTTCAATTTGGTGAGACTCGGAGTCGCCAGCAGGGGGCACCCGGGAGTTGCGCGGCGCATGAGTGGCTGACTAGTTAGCAGCATAGAAGTAGTCCAGCACGAGATGAAGCGCGAATGTGCAGAGAAATGTGCTCCTTGTTTGAACATTGCATTTTCTTGTGTTTCATACAGGTAAGCTGACAATAACCTTACACTGGTATATGTATAACAGTATTATATTCTTATAGAGCCATAGTTTGTGCCTGAAACGTTAACAAAAGTGAAGTTTTAACGGTGATTAAGAGTTATGTCGTGAAATGGCGGACGGGAGTGTTAACTATTTAATTAGTAGAAAACTAGTAACTCTTAACGTGAGCAAAACGGAGTAATAAAGGTTTAAAAGCATATATACTCGACGTGAGTGTGGGATGAGGCATAATTAACCGAATATATGTGTATGAACATTGATTGAAATGCGTGTAGAGACAAGTCTGGGCAATTGGAGTTAATGAGGCACACGTGACTGTTCTTAGCCCTCGTATATACACGTGACCCTCATTTAGCATTGCTTTGTCAGCCATTACATGTAAAAATAAAGGACGTTCATACTGTTAAATTAAGAACCATAGTCAGATTGAGAGGTAAAACAGTTTATTAATAATTTTGTGAGTTCATAGTGATAACACAGTAACTGTTAAATGGTTAAAATTTAGTTCATAATGTAGTCAGGTCATTAGCATATTTCATGGAAGAGTAAAAAGATTAAAGACAAGTTAAACAGTGATATGAAAGAGTATTAGGAATACACGTGCAGTTATCAATGTTAGAGTAATGTGGGTATAGACTGAACTATTGCTGATGCCTGAAAATCTATTTTAATTCCAAATACTATTCACATGCTTGTTTGAGTTTAAATGTATGACTCATAGAGTTTATTGTACTTTAAAGATGTTATTTTTCAGACCTTTTCCTTTTATATCAGTTTAATAACGGGCATAGCACATGTTTAGATCCATGTTAATGTGTTTGTGTAAAGAACATGTATTTTCTGAAAATGGAGTATTGTAAGGAGTCTAGTCTAGTGTGACGTATCAGCCTAGACATCAGTCATGCGAGTCAAGATAATTTGTGAATATATCACAGGATAAGAGTATAGAAGTAGTCCAGCACGAGATGAAGCGCGAATGTGCAGAGAAATGTGCTCCTTGTTTGAACATTGCATTTTCTTGTGTTTCATACAGAAAAATAAATGTGTTGCACCCGGAAGTGACATTGCCTCTTTCCAAAAAGTGTAACATTTGCCACACACACACACACACACACACACACAACGCATGGGCGGAGTTACCAGTCATTGGCCAGTAGCAGAAGAGCGGAGCAATTACTGGCTATAGTGTAGACCAATAAGATGGTTACTATCTGACGGCAGCGGCCAACGAGAGCCTGTGCGTGGATGGCACTGGATTGGGCACGTGTGTTTATGCACATGTTGACGCTCGGGAAGTGAGGAGAGAGAGAGAGAGAGCGAAAAGAGAGAGAGAGAGAGAGAGAGAGAGAGAGAGAGAGAGAGAGAGAGAGAGAGAGAGAGAGAGAGAGAGAGAGAGAGAGAGAGAGATGGTCTGTGGGATAGGGAAAGAGTAGAAGGAATCGTTCTGAAGGGTTTGCGTTGCTTTTACAGGCGCGCCTGAAGGTAAGATGTTTTCAAAACTATTCGTTATTGGGTAGCGTGCCATTACACAGGAATAGAATGAGAATTATATTTGCATTGCTCACTTTTGATTGTTAAAATGTTATTAGTTAGACTGATATTTGATATAGTCTCATGTATCTGAAATTGTCCCATTACTGCAACTCGGCGTATAGTGTGTGTGTGTGTGTGTGGGTGGGTGTGTAATTAAGTCACGTGCAATAATTTGTGTGAAGAATGATATGTTTATCATTTGAATAATCATGTAACATGTATACATGTATGTAAGAATACATAAAATTGTATGTTTTACAAACGATAATGTCGGGGTTGTGATTACATTTAGAATCACATCCCAGGCATTATCGTATCGTATCTCACACGAACAGTAATACATGTTCCGTTAAAAAAAAAAAAGCATGTATAGAAAGTTGAAAATGAGTGAGATTTCGAAGTGCATAACAATGCAGAAGAATTTAGAGTGTTAGTGCTGACATATACTGCATGTGTGTGAGTGCAGAACAGAAGTGAAGCCATAAGTGACCCTAACTGTCATTTTCATTGCTGCTGACTGAGCAGCACAGAGTGCGAGAGTAACAGTCTTAATAAGAAACAAGAAGGGTAGACAGAGAAACAGATTGGAGGAATACAGGAGGAGAGATGTATACTTTGTTTTTACTATGGATTTGCAATGAAGAGGCACTCTTGAAGAGAAAAGAGCAAGGGAGAAAAAGAGAGATGTTAAAAATGGTTGGGGGATGGGCAGGGGACATGAGCAAGTGAAAAGTGAGGGTGTGTTTGTCTCCGGGTGTTTTAATGCCCCAGCCCCTTTCCTTGTGTGTGTGTGTGTGTGTGTGTGTGTGTGTGTGTGTGTGTGTGTGTGTGTGTGTGTGTGTGTGTGTGTTTACCAGAGGGAGGAGAGGAGTCAGAAAATAAAAAAGAAATGGAGACACCCTAGCTGCCCTCTTTAACCACTAGTGTTAAAGCATCCCACTGCACCCCTCCCCCTATTTCCCTGCTCTAGACAGCACTCACTTACACAACCTTGCACACACTACATACTTGCACAGGCTTGCATGCTCCTTGCTTCTCTCTGATCTCAGAGGGTCTACTCTAGACAGACCCCATGCATTCTGTAATGGCTCAGACAAAACATTATGGATAAAATAAATGTAATATTGGCATTGGTTGTATTTGGTTTTATCAAAATTGGGTTCATTTTGGAATGCAGTAGGGTCTGAAAAACCACAACAAAAACCTTGGTAAATAGTTTCAAAATCAATAGTTTTAGCAATTAATAAATTATAGCATTTGATAAAGAAAAAATAGATATTTACAATTTGAAGGTCACTAATCAAATTTGTGACATTGCCAATGGGAAGTCTGTTGTGAAAAAGGTCAGATATCCTTGCTTCCATTAATGATGGTCTTTGGAACATTTATGGCATAAAGTGTTATTGCCATTAAAGCAATACCTTATAGCATTGACATTCAGACAATCTGAAATGCATGCAAGTGTCTCATTTTAATTTTCCACAATATGTGCAAATTTGCCTTTTGCCTACTTCCATTTTTTTGTTCTAGATATATTTTTTCCATCTCTTTCCCACAGTCATGCAGTCCTCAGAATCGCCTTCCTGTCAACCGGATTCATTATGCTCCAACAACAGTTTCTTGTTCAGTGATGATGAGACAAAAGTTTACCTGTTGGAGGACAGGGACAGGCCACATGGGGCCCGTTCGTCTCAGTCCAGTCTTTCTAACAGAAGTGTTTACAGTATGAATGGAGAGCAGGAGCGTCCTGGATCTCAGTGGGCGTGTGATGGATTCAGTGGCCCTGAGAGGACACAGGGCAACAGTCACGCTAGGTCAGCATCTTCGTCCTCCTCGTCTTCATCTGGATTAGGATGTAGCATCTCTGAGAGTGAGCGAGGGAAGAATGGAGGAACTGAAGGAGACCTGCTGTTTGCTCGTAAGGTGAGAATCTTTCCACCAATTCTCAATAGTTTACACCTGGTATTAACATCTGTCTCGAGTGTTCCAAACAAATGTAGTCAGTATTCATCAGTATTAAAGTGGTTACTTTTTACCACTAGTACTGGTTAAAACTCTTCACTTCCTGAAAGCAATCAATAATAGAAGTGGTCTAAATATTAAACATGTGGAAGTCTCAGGACCAAACAAAAATGTTCGTCCAATCATTGCATTTGGACCGAATATGATGGACCTATCTGCTTGTCAACATGTGTGACCCGTGCTTGGCAAAATGAGTCGGAATGTGTATGGGCTAATAACAAGCTACAGGCAAAACAAGTAAAAAAATTAAATAATGTAAACTTTGTGAATATTCATAGCTAATTCTCAATGGTCTGAGCCATAGACTGTAGCCATGTTTCCATCCACTTGTCAATCGAATTATCTAAAGTTCGTTTAAAAAACTCATGCGGATAAAGGTGGTGAAAGTGTGTTTCCATCCAACGGCTTTAAAGCGAATAAAAACCTGTACTTAATTATGTCACATGCTGTTTTGCGATCAAATTGGTATATCGAATTGATTTGAGACATTTTAAGGTGTTTCCATTTATTTTCGCACTGAATCGAACAACATGCAAGCAAACTTTTGCGAACAAAGTTTTGTTAGACAAAACGGATCGCGCCATCTACCAACAAATGATCAATATTTCACAAGTTGAAGCCTAATAATGCTTATGTGCCAGCTATATAGCGTCATATGAATGGGATAATGTATGCGAGGCGGTTGTTGAAGGGGTTGTATTCGCTATAACAACCGCCTCGCTATATATTATCCTGCTTATTACATATGAAACAACCAAATAAATCAATAAATCAATAATTTGACACAAAATATTGACTTAAAAATGAGTTTATTGATTTAAAAATGACTATTGCTTCTGCTAAAGAAAATAGTCTGTTCCGTTCCGTATCTGAACTGGCAACGGTGTGTTATACTAGCAGCCATGGCATGGCAACGGTGTGTTATACTAGCAGCGCCACAGTCTGTTAACAAGAACAGACCACATTCTACATTAGAATTCAACCAAGCCACGTAAAAACAAGCAAAACTAACCTGAGAAAACAACGACGCTATAAACATTGCTATGATGATGCCAATGCACGTATGCCTGACGACAGCGGAGGTGACTGTGGTGTGGGAACGACAGCGCTCCATCAGTTCTGGGAGATCGTAGTTCACGGAAACCCTTTGGTTGAAGCATCTTTTTCCTTTGTCCACTTACATCTGTCTTTGTTGACATACGCCATGTGTGTGCAAACAGACTGGCCGGAAATGAACTCGTCTTCTGACGTGTTGCAACCATAAAAGGGCATAAAACTTAATCGCAATTCATTATTTATTCTGCTAATAATGTTTCCATCAGCTTTTATTGCATTAGCCGTATATCGATCAAGATTAAATCCGATGAGACCGAACGTATTTCATTTGAGTCGATTTTCATGAAATTTCATCGAATTTTACTATTTCCATAAGGCATTTTTCATTCGATATCACTTAATTCGGATAAAAACGTGTCGATGGAAACATGGCTTGTAAAAATGATGGACGACGCCCCTTTACTGTCTCTTCCATTGGTGAAAAGTGAAGCTGCCAAAGTCCTAATATGGCTGAAAAGAACCTCATTCTGCACAGTACAGTCACCCACACTCTCGCAGAAACGGTTAGTACAAAGTTTACTGTGTGAAATAAACAGTTATGGACATCTAGAAATTAAAGTTGAAGCTTCAAATTGTGCACTTTTATGTCAACACTATCAATGGCGAAATTAATCGGCAGCAGTCAGGTGGTACAAGTAAGAGCTCTATGAGTAGTTTACGTTCATTATTATTGTAGTCCTTTAAGATATGAGGTAATTTAACGTCATCTCAGAGATGACGTTAAATTACCTCATGTCTCAAAGCACTACAGGTCATGTGTTTTGAAGGAGGTGTGGCTAGGGCTGGGCGATAAAACGATAACGATAATTATCGCAATATAATTTTTCTCGATAAAACGATATCAAGAGGTCGATAAATGTTTGATAATGTTTATGCGCCAAAAGCGGAACGAAAGTCATTTGAACCGCGAGCCACACGGAGCATTAATCCGCTCGGCTCAAAGTCCAAACGGCAGCGCACTGAGCGCAGCGTGAGCTCACGCAGACTCGCACTCTGATCATTTGATCGTCCAGTGAGAAGCGCTTGAGTTCAGTGAAGAACACAAATGTCAGTTAAACCAGGCAGATAAAACACCGCTGACAAAAAGGAGTAACACTGTGTGCAACGATACAGTCAGAATCTGAATTGATACTGAATCCATTTAGTCTAGCATGGATTTACTGTAAGGTTAGCCTAGTATTAACTGCACCATGAAATGTGTGATATACATATTGAATTGTATTATTAATGTAGACATTGTATTAAATGAGTAATGGAATATAAGTACAGTATTTAATAATGTATTTAACTGTTTTTTTTTTTCAAACAAATACCACAGAAACCATAAAGTTCCATTTTGCTATGATAGTAAGGTGCTAGGTTATAGGCTATGCCTGGTTTTATCTGCGGTTATCATGATCTAAATGCTTGATAGTGGATGACCAATGGTTCATTTTAATAAAACTCAAACAGCCAGAAGACTCAGAATATTACATTTTACCAAATACAAATTTGGACGTTACATTTAAAAAAAAAAAAAAAAACCCAGATGTGACTTATCCCTTTCGTAGTCACTCCGAGTTACGTCGGATGACGGAGAATGGGGGTATCGCATAGAAAGCCAATCCTCTTTGAGTATTAAAAAACGAGCCAATGGCATGAAAATGCCTTGGGTCTGCGGAATTTGCACAGCGTATCTCCGCCCCACCTGGTGGGTATAAAAGGAGGAAGCAAACGCAACCGCAGTATGTTTTCGCTTCGGAGCCAAGAGAACTTCTTCACTCCACAAGCCACACAATCTGAGTTTACTACGGTCACTCACCTCTTCGAGACGAGCGAACTCTCTGGTGTTGGTGTGACGGCGGTACCCAGCGAGTTTCACATTGCCTGCGATCTGAGCAGAGGTCTGCCAGTGTGTGTGTCTCTCCCTGGTCGCTTCAACATCCGCAGAGTTTTCTCCTCTCACTGAAAGAGTGTGTACTGAAAGAGTGTGCACGTGGCACGTCTTTTTAAAGACGCGTCTTTTTGAAGACGATCTGCCCGTGTATTCCTGAGTGCGGTGTTCTGATAGAATCAGCTGATGGGCGCGAGCGCTGTTTGACGTGTTTGGGCTTTGATCACGCTCAGACAGCGCTTGTGGGTGTGTCACGTTCTCTCAGTGGGAACGTGATCATTGTTCAGACTCAATGAGCTCAGTAGAGTGAGAGTCCCCTCATCCACAACCTGAACTATTTTCTCCACGTGAGATAATACTTTGGCTGGTGGCCAGGGTGACCAAAAAGACGTCAGGTCTGGAACTAAACCGACGAAATTCTCCGGTCCATACCCCGTCTTTCACGTTGCAACCCACGTGGTCCAGAGTGAGTGGGCGGTGCCCGTCCGCGGGCCTGCATTCTCATTCAGTCCCCCAGCTGATGAAATCATGTTTATCGCCGCATCACAAGGTGAGCTGGAGTCCTCTGGAGATGGCTCGTCTGTGCTGCTGTCCTCGGATGTGCTAGCATAGCGAGTTTGATTCAGGGTTCACAGCTATGCTTCCCAGGCTGCCACGAGTTTATGTTTATTATTTTGATCCCCATTAGCTGCTACATTAAGCAGCAGCTATTCTTCCTGGGGTCACAACATTTTAACAAAAACTTAACATCAAAGCTCTACAACAACAAAGACAGATACAGAAGTGCACACAACATCATAAATCATCAAACTCACACACACACACACACACACACTAAACATAACATAACAAACATAACATCAGAATACAAGCTCTTAAATATGCAAAATATTACCACTCTCTGGGTACAACACAAAATATGAAAATCACATTTCAATTATTATAGCTCATTGTCCAGTCATTATTAATTATAAAAATTACACTTACTCCAAAGTAAATAAATACAGTCTCAATCTTTTGGAAAAACTAACATTGTGACTCTCTGAAACCAAAAATAATGGGAGCGAGTTCCATGCCACCATTGCTCTGTAACACCATGTCCTTTGAAGTTGATTAGTTCGACAGACAGGTAACAAGAAACGCCCTTCACTTGATTGACGATTGGAATAAATATGAACGTCACTGAAGAAGGTCAATCTACCATAAATAATTTCAGGTGCTTTAGAAATAATTATATTTTTTAAGAATTTAATAAGAGAATAATTAATTCTACTTCTTACATGAAGCCATGCTAACTGATTATGCATATCTCTTACACTTGTTCTAAAAGAACAATTTAGAACAAGCCGACATGCTTTATTTTGTGCAATCTGTAATCTGTTTAAATTATTCTCTGTAGTTGAAGCCCAAATAATGGAACAATAGTCTAGATGACACAAAACTATTGATTCCACTAAAGTTTTCCGTATACGAAACGGTATACATTTTCTACAATGACGAACTGTGGCCATACTCCTGCCCATTTTATTCAATATTAATTTTATATGAGCGTTCCAGGTCAACCTGCTGTCCACAATCACACCGAGCAATTTGGCCTCCGCCACTTGTTCAATTATCAAACCACCAACTGACAAATTCAAAACGGGGGAATCTTTTAAAAGATGATTAGATCCCAACATCATACATTTACTCTTCCCAACATTAATCTTCAATTTATTTACTCTCTTCCACTTTTCAATTAATTGTAATTCATTATTTAATACAGTATTAAGTCTGGTAGAGTCATAATCAGACAAAAAAATAGTTAAGTCATCTGCATACAGAGAAATAGTGGCACGCTTCAAAATAAAAGACAAATCATTAATAAAAATAGAAAACAACAGTGGTCCAAGGCAACTCCCTTGAGGCACTC